GGTATGATGGGACCAGATTGTGAACACACTGATATGCCAGGGTGAGGATTTTAAAGTCCACTCTCGCCGCTACTGGGAGCCAATGTAACGCCTTAAGCACCGGTGTTGTGTGCATTCTTGAGGGAGATCTGGTGACTATCCTCGCCGAATGATTTTGCACTTTTTGAAGTTTACTGAGGAGTGTTGCCGGTATGTTCGCAAGCAAACTATTGCAGTAGTCTAAGCGTGTCAGAATCAAGCATCGAGCGAGCTTTGCAGCTGAATCCTCAGTTATGAGATAATTGATTTTCCCAGTCGTTTCAATTGAAAGTATGTAACAACTTTTACATATGTTGTTCACTTGCTGTTCCATTGATAATCCAGCATCAATTAGGACGCCTAGATTATTCGCAACAGGGACATATCATGCTTGTCTAGTTAATGTGTAGTTTGTCTTGAAACCACTTGGAAAGCTTGGGCTTTGCCCAATAACAGCAGCTTCCGTCTTCTCGTTTAGCTGAATACAATGTGTGAAGCCCATTTCTGGTGTCCCCCTATGTCATCCTATTCTTTAACATCAGAGATGGAATGTTCCATCTTTGCCCATGAGGGGGCGGCGGGATAGCCTAGTGCTTGAAGCGTTCGATCGTCACGCCGAAGTCCCAGGTTCGATTTCCCGCATGGGTACATTGTATAGCCTGGTGTCCCCGCCCTGGATATTGCTGCAATATTGCTAAAAGCGGCGTAAAACTAAACTCACTCACTCATCCATGCGCCACTAGTCACACGATATACTAGATGTACACCGATATATGTACAATGTTGCCGTGTAGTAAAGCGTTTCAGTTATTTGTGTTATACATGCCTAAATAAAACACAAAGACCGTGAATGAGTTTTTAGGTTATTTCAACTGTTTTCAACAGAATGTCAGCTATATTATCACTAAGTGTGGCTTTGTGTAGCTCAAAGCCCAACATGACGCAGATTTTAGACGTTTTAGATGAAACCAACGACCTCATACATTTACACATCAAGGTACCCGTGAAGAACCGTTTACAATTGACCTTCAGTTACCCATGCTTGTCGTAATAGGCCACTGACGGGATCGGGTGGTCAGGCTCGCTGGATTGGTTGACACATGTTATCCTATCCGAATTGTGTAGATCGATGCTCATGCTGTTGATCACCGGACTGTCTGGTCCAGACTCATTTATTTACAGACTGCCGCCATATAGTTGGAATATTGTAGAGTGCAGCACAAAACTAAGCTCACTCACTCACAAACCAAGGATCATGATCACAGTGAATAGAGGATCCTGTCAGAGCTGTGGGACGCAACTCTGAACAGTCACTTGCGCCTTACACAGCTGGACTTATCTTTTCCATTTGCTTGTTCTTTCACCTTGGGATTCGAGAATAAAATTGATCCCAAGTAAACTAAGCTAAGCTGGTCAATCTCTGTAACTGGTGGCACCATATGGGACCCCTTGCGGCTTGGAAGAAACGATGATGATGATGATGATGATGATGATTATTATTCACGGCTACGACGTCATGAACATTCACATATTTACTCACACTTACATGATCAATGAATATCCGAGGCCATATGACCTGTGAATCCCAACTAACAAGACAATCGACCTATTCTACGAACTCAAAATATTTTGTTCTAATGACATTTGAGACTTAGTTTGATGGGTTTGGCTTTGTGAAAATATAGAACCATTAAAAATGGGTATACGCTGCCACAAATTACCTGCAATCTGTCCACAAACGCAGTGATGTTTATACTAAGAAAATATAACAAGATTTCCATCTTTCATTTTTTGGTTTAATTGGTAACAAAACAAATCCAATCTTGTAACTACAGAAAATAATGTTGTTTCTCAATGAAAATAATGTTGTTTCTCATGACTTTCTATCACCAAATTGAATGGGGAGGAGGATTCTAATGAGTCAGCACCTGAGAAATGTGAAAACACGAACCAGAGGTTGTCGTGACCCTGTACAGGTTCTGTACAGGTTCTGTACATTCCATATACACTAAATTGGCTATCTTTATCGAAAACTTCATTAAACAGTTTATCGTACCATACTTCAAAAATCACACACATTAGTGCTTCTGCATATCCCATAAACTATGAATATGCCATCTTGCACAAAAACTTCACTGAAACAGTTTATAAGTTAAAAGAAATATATTTAGTGGTGCTAGTTAGTCCTGAGAAACAAAAGATATACTTCAACAAGCTTAACGCTACAACAATTATGAAATCTAGATCTAATGTGAACATTAGTCCAATACAACAAGGTAAACAGTGTGTTTGTTAATTTGTATGATTTGCTAACGAAATGAGGCAAAAACTATTTAAATATAGTGTTATTTACACATTTGAATTATCAAAATGCTATGTACTTTGGGCTCGCTCAGCTGTAGAATTCTCTTTTTTTCATAGAGAAATCCAGAAATTGTGAAAAATATATTTAACTTGTCCTTCAAGTTCGAGCTCTAATGTGATAGACAGCCCAAATTTCAAAAGATGCACACAAACCAACCTACTCTCTTTGCATTCAAATGTAAATGCATATGTACAATTAAAGAGCAGTGTTTTTATTTCAGAAATATAAAAAGTCACTTATTCATTGTTACTATCAATAAAATAAATAACATAAAATACCATAATTAAAACATAACAAGCATTGTCACTAAGGTGACATAATCCCCTGCCGCAAATTATCAAATCAAACTTATAAAGTAATGAAAGTTTAAGTTATATGTCAAAAACACATGACCAGTCAACCTCTCTTGATATCTTGCTCTTTGGTTGTTCAAACACACACACATTTTCAAGACTGACTTTGACCTTGACATGAATGTCATAGTGTATGAAATATGCAAAAATAGTAATAAAGAAATTGCTTTTTGAAAAACATTTAAGGGAAGTCTTGAAAGTCTTTGAAGAAAATCCAGTGAACAGTTCTTGAAATATCTTGCTGACAATTCAGGTTAACATGCTGAAAAGTGTCTCTGTGACCTTGAAACTTAAGTGAAGGTCACCAAAATCGACCGGGCCCTGCACCTTCCCTGGATGAAGCTTGGTGTCAAATATGAAGAAAATCCAGGGAATGGTTCTTGAGATAGCTTAACATGCAGGTTTACATGCTGAAATCTTCAAAGTGTCGCCATCACCTTGAAAATTATGTGAAGGTCCCCAAAATCGACTGGGTCCTGCGCCTTCCCTAGATAAAGCTTTGTATTGAATATGAAGAAAATCCAGTGAACGGTTCTTGTGATAGCTTAACATTCAGGTAAAACGTTACAGTCCCCTTGTGACCTTGAAATGAAGGTCAAGGTCACCAAACCTGACTTGGACCTTTCTTATACTGTGATGAACCTAGGTACCAAATATGAAAAGAATCTAGCGAACGGTTCTTAAGATATTCCAATTCGTACCTACGGACGGCGCAGAGCCTAATACTATATCCCCGCTTCGCGCTAACCGCGCGGCGGGGGATAAAAATTGTTTCTGTTCTCTTTACCTACTTAATATTTTGAGGAAATCCCCAAAATATCTGAAGTTACATTTTCTTTCAACCTCCTGACCAAACTTTGGGGGCTAAAAATCAGTACATTCCAACTTCTAAATGATGTCTTATGGATACATCAGAGTCACCTTGCAGTGAGCTTGGTTAAAATACTATTAGGTTAGAGGCAGTAAAATTAGATTCAAATTTAAAATACATGTCTAACTACTTTTCTCATTCACCTCTTAAAAACTGAAATTTCAAGGAGTTACAACTAATGGTTGAACACCATATATAACATTTGTATATTTTGTTCTTTCACTTGACAAAATAAATGTTTACACACATTGGTTGCACTCAAAGCCCTGTGAATACAGTGTGGAGTTGTCATAACTACACTTGACTGGCTTTCAACCACATCACTAGAAGTTTAGAAAAACAATTCCAGCAAAATAACAATAACCCTGATCACACATAGACACATCGTATTGCCTCTCACCCACCAATGAAAGAAACCAAGAAAAGTCTGTCAGCAATATGTGTTCCCTTGCTCAGTGTACCTGGTAACTTGTTTCTTATTATCACAGATACATGCACAAAAAATAACATTATGAACCTCTGTAATGGAACACTTCATATGTCTACAAACCATCGGCTTATCCCTTTAGGTGAAATGTTTCTTTGCGCAATTATGATATGTTGTTCATATTCTTGAGATCTGAGCCATCACTGTTGCTTCTATTTCAATGACTGAGTGGATGATTGGGTCACTCTGAATTAAATTCTAGTTATATCCTGATGTGCCAGGTTAATGCGGGAGGAAAACCTTAAGTGATGCAGGGTCCCGTTTCACAAAGCTATCGTAGAGTTACAGTCGTACCTCCTATACTGTAACATAAACTTACGAGAGTCGTAGCCCTATAGCTTTATGAAATGGGGCCCTGTTGAAACCTAAACTTACTAGAGTCGTAGCCCTATAGCTTTATGAAATGGGGCCCTGTTGAAACCTAAACTTACGAGAGTCGTAGCCCTATAGCTTTATGAAATGGGGCCCTGTTGAAACCTAAACTTACGAGAGTCGTAGCCCTATAGCTTTATGAAATGGGGCCCTGTTGAAACCTAAACTTAAACATAGCTTTATGAAATGGGGCCCTGTTGAAACCCATAACCACCGGTATGGTGACTAAACTACAAACATAATTCGGGCCTTGAACCCATAGTCAGTTTCCTGGTGTACCCAAGGGAGGCAACTCTGCACTGAAAAGCCTTGCCTCTAACTCCATTTCAAGACTCCATTTCAACTATTTATTTTACAAGGGAGAGTGGCAGTTCCATCTCATATAACAAAATCTCATCTCATATAAAATAAATACCTTCCCACACTGACACCATTTTGAAAACAAACAAACTAGATTCATTGCTTGAAAAATACAGGGGTGGAAATAACCCATTGCCCGATGCTCGAGTCCAGAGTCTTTTTCTGTTTGGCAAGCAAATTTGTATATCACACTGTACCGGTGTCCAGTTGACTTTCCAATATTAATCCACTGTACCGGAGTACACTAGCAATTTGAAAGTTATTTCCACCCCTGAAAATATCAAAGAAGTTGGACAGTTCTGTCAAACTCCTTCTTTCTTCTAAATCAAAAATCCTTTCAAACATCATTGACACAATACATGAAGACCACATTCTGTCCATTATCATAAAAGCTTTGTTTACGTAAAACAAAGACATTCACTAAGAGTGAGTAATTCACACATTACATGAAAGGTCAACATTTCATGGATGTCAATGTCTATATTATGAGGAACACAACATCTTGGTGAGTGAGTGAGTATGGTTTTTACTGAGCTTTTAACAATATTCCAGCAATATCAAGGCAGGGGATACCAGAAAGGGGCTTCATACATTGTACCCATGTGGGGAATCGAACCCGGGTTATTGGCGTGACAAGTGAATGCTTCAACCACTAGGCTACCCCACCGTCCCCATCACATCTTGGAGTATAATTTTACTACTTTACCAGTTGAATGTTGTGTTTCTTATAAAAAAGTTGACATCCATAAATTTTCACCTTTTATTTATATTACTTCTAAATGGAACACTTCACATGTCTTCAAAGAATCGGGTTATCCTAGAGTGAAAGTTTGCAATGCGCAATTTTGATATTTTGTTATTAGTCTTCATGAAGCTCAAAACGATGTGATGCTCAAAATGTGAAGTTCAAAACGATGTGATGCTCAAAATGTGATGCTCAAAATGATGCCAAATAACAATAACCCCATGCTTTACCAAAGTCAGTAAACTATATCACAGAATACTACATTAATATGTGGACATAAACAGCAGGGAATCTCTTCATATGTTAATAAAGATCTAATGCCAAGAGATGTAATATTACTAGTGGTGTAACAATAAGAGACTAACGATTCATGCAAAAATAGGAGACAACATGAAATGTAAGTGGCAGTATTGTATTGGGATACAAATTATATAGCACCCTCATCATATCGTAACAATTCTAAACATAACCCATCCATATATACAAATTATACACTACCCAGTATTCAGGCATGTCCCAATTGATGAGATAATATATCCTGAGACCTAATATGATGGATCATATGATGGATCATAATTCATATGGATCATATGGTGGATCGTATCACTGCTAATACAGCAGCTGATATACTCATGGAAATAAATAAGGGAACACCTGAAAGAAAGTACCGTATTAAATTATTAATAATTTAGCTAGCTTTAGTTATCTTGCAATATATCTAAGATGTTAAAATTATCAATTATACTGTACACATCGCATGTTTTGCTATGCACAATGCAACCTATGTAGTTATGGACCAATGGCCTAGTGTTACTTTATTTTTTTCCCAGGTTTCTTCACAAGCTTTGTATTGCTCTGTACTTTCATGTGTTCCTTTAAACGTTTCCATGAGTATATCAGTGTACTACCGGTATGTATAACATCCTAATATACTCTGCTGCTGAGGCTGATAATGTCATGCACAAATTTATAGGTGAATTCACAGAATTCATACTCCTTTGCAATTTCTTAAATCATTCACTAATTCAACAACGCTGAGTAATGCAAAACGGAAACAACTCAGGCTGCTCCGGTAGACATAACTTTCACCTTAAGGATGAGGGAGTTTTGAGATGAACTAAGCAAGTATTTAAAAATATATTGTGTAAAATGTTTCAGCGAGAGTATTGTTTGATGCCGCTTCTTGCAACATCTCAATAACATCCATCCTCGATAATCTCCAGGGTATACATTCCGATAAATCTCCACTAGTACAATGGATGCATCTACAGTTCGGACAGATAATTTTAGTACCTCCCTTTACTGGCTTTTCATCCATTTAGTTGCCTACGCTGGGAAGTTGAGCGTACCAATCACAAGGTTTCTATCATAACTCACTTTCACTTCTTTTGTCTAACCGATTAAACTTGGCAACACAATTGTTGCAGAGGTACTCTGAAAGAGGTAAATGAAATTCTTGCAAATATTCTTTTAAGGTTTCAGGCCTGCAGTGCTTCAGCCAGGATTTTTTGAGTGTTGCCAAATGGCACCTTAACTACTAAAATGTGTGCCAACGCAGTTGAGACTTTTGCCATTCGTGGTAACCATGGTATAGAAGACCTGTGGATTATATTAAATGATGCGCCAATGGGTACGCTCTAGCATTGAAAAAAGGTGCCACTGCATATTTTTTAGTGTCAATGGCGCTTGCCTGGCTGAAGCACTGGACCTGTCAATTTGTCTGTATGATATTTTCCCTTAGTCTCAGTCGCATAGTGAGTGAGCAAACCTTCACGGTTGCGGACGCTATCATTGTCGACACTGGCAAGCTTGGTTGTAACAGCTTATCTGATTGGCTACTGTGAGGAGGCGGACCCCGCAAAGGGAGGCAATATAATTCTCTGGCAGAGCCATAGATGCATCAAGGGTACTAGTGGAGATTTATTGGAACGTACACTCTTGAGATTATCGAGGATGAATAACATCACAGCTGGGTAAAACCAGGATCAGGCTTAAAAAAATTGTATCTGAGTGTTGAACCTGAGTCTTAAGAGTGATAGTGCCTTTATACAAGACTACCCCAATACACTAATACACATTCAGGGATATTTGTTGATCACAAACACTGGCATAGATGGCAAGATTTGTAAGATTAATTCTTTGCATTCTTTATGTCAGTGATGAAGATATAACAGCAATATCTTTTGGAACTTCTATATATACTCTTAAGCATGGTAAGACTTAGTTTAAAAGTGCATTCTCTCTAGCTCTGCAAATCCTCTCTACTATATTAATCCCCTAAAACCACCAGTGACTATTATGACAGCTCTTCCAGACCAGTCAGTACTGATGTACTACTCTTGTCTCCCAGCACAAACTGCTGCCCCTTGTCAGCCTTGTAGAAGTCAATCCTGAAAGCAAAAGAGAGAGTAAGTGAATGAATGTTGTTTTATGTTGCTGGGAGTAGTAACCTTTACAAAATAACCCACACAGTTGTGTAGATTGATGCTCATGATATCAATCACTGTATTGTTTTCTTCACTCAGCAATATTCCAGCTATATGGTGGCAGTCTGTAAATAATTGAGTTTGGACCAGACAATCCAGAGATTGGGATGCCATGACATGTGTCAACCTAGTCAGCAAGCCTGACCACTGTTAGTCACTTCTTACAAGCATCGGTTGCTGAAAACCAACAGTAAACCAAAAGTCACTGTGTTCTTTAATCTGATTGGTTGATAAACATGATCAATTGGTATTCGATTCCCGGAAATTCGCTGCGTATTAATACTCACAAACATCGCTCACACCATTGTATTGTTACATAGTCAGCTGTGATGACATCATTCAAATCATATTGTGATGTAAAGTCAGTATGACGTCACAAATGAGCAGTTCCAGATGGAACCATGGGAGACAGCCGAAACGGCCGGCTGATGACACTTCACTGCTGTACCCGTACTCCATGTCAATGAGTGCAGACACAAAAACGTGTGTGGAACTTTGGGTTTACTTTTGTTTTTACAATGTCCATAAACATCATGACACCGTCGGTTCCAAATGAATTCCCGTGCTTCAAATACTCAATAACACCGGAAATTGGCCAACACATGACGTTTATCTCCTACTTCTAACCACATCTTCACAGGTGACCATGTACTTAAAGCTTGTTCCATGGCCTTATGACAATTGTAGAGCTAAGACCATTAAAACTGCCATACTTCAAACAATCAAAGCACTAAGATTAAAATAAGGAATCTGTTGCTGCTGACCTATCATAGATTATACCCTCCACTCCCTCCTTCCTCAACAGGTTGATAGTCTCGGAGCTGTTGTTCTCGTCTCCCCACACAAACATCACCAGCCCCATGCTGTGTGTTTTCTTGATGAGAGACAGATCCTTCAGCAACCCCTCAGCCTGGAAGTCCACGCCCTATAACAAATACCATTGCATGTCAGTACTTCAATTCAGAGTAAAGTATACTAGCCACATAAAGAAACTGTGCACATAGAAAATTCCTTCAGAATTGGAATACAACACAGAAAAGACGAAATGATGTAGACACTTTATAAGCTGAAGTATCGGACCACAACAAAATGTCAAAAAAAACACGAACAATATCCGTAACAATGACGTCAGAAGTTCAAAATCGAGTTGGGGGTCACACGAGGCAGTCACTCACAAAGTCAATAACGGGTTTGACCACCATGTGCGTGAAGCACAGCAGTACATCGACGACGTATAGAGGCTACCAAATGAGCATTGAAGGCCTTGGGAATAGTCTGGGACGTGGTAACTGCCGTCTGGAACCTATGTCTGAGATGAGTCACCCGAATCCATCTGTCCTGTCTTGGCGTCGTTATGTCGGGGACGCCCAGAACGTGGGTGGTCGGCGACATCATTACTGTTTTGATAAAGCCTGGTCAATGCATATATCGTGTTACGATGGCATTGGAAATGTGCTGCCACCTGTTGTTCACTCATTCCTGCTCGAACCATTCCAATGGCTTCATGACGTTGAGCAGATGTTAATCTAGGCATGATGTGCATGTGACTTCTCATGTGAATTTGTGAACGTTTGAATGAACACAGATCAAGCTTTTCACAGTGACAGCAATTTCTGAGTTTCACATGTTGTCTGCAGCTGCACGGGCTGCACGTGCAGTAACACATTGCAAGACCATAGGCCATCATCAAGGACGTCACGTCGCCTGGCACCTGCATGTGCGTTTCATTGTCTCCAATACTTGCTATGTTCACTCCTTTATTTATATATAAAGACACCGTGTGCCTATATTTATATTTTTTGTGTGCACGGTTTCTTTATGTGGCCAGTATAAATAAAATGTTACATTTGAGATTACACTTTCTCAATAAAGAATAGATTCTAATTCTAGTACATGTTGAAGTGACGGTGGCTGATTGGGTTAGATGGCTGATGTTCTGTGTTGGCGATTAGGTGCCTGACTCGAAGTGTTGGTTCGAATCCGGGATGGAAGTACAACATTGATTATTGAACTTGACCAAGTGAAACTTACCAGCAATCCATAGGCGAGAGCAAATTTAATGCCTGCATCGAACTCTCTCGCTCTGTAGTCAGTGTATGGTGAATACTTCAAAGTGGGTCCGTTGCTTAGGAACAGAACCGGATATTTGTTCTGCTTCATCTGCAACCTGTAGTTGAATAGTACGTGAAAAGTCAGGAATACTCGTTAATTAGGGGTGGGTATTGCAGAGAATTTTCATATTGCGATATATTGCAATGCGGAAGCATATATTGCGATATGTATTGCAATATATTGCAAGGATTATTTTTTTAACAAAAACTACTTATAATCGAGTTAATGCTTGATTATAAAGCAAAAACACAACAAAATCACTATGATTGATTAACCTTTTATAAAAACTTTTAATCATGATAAAATATAAATGTAAGTAACATTTGGCACTAATGAAACAGGGAAAAGAACAATTGAAAAAAACGGAAATATCCGAAGATTTCCGAGTGTTACGAAGTTTTCCGAATGCATGTCAAAATACCGGTTTTCGATCAGCGTATCGCAATACGTATCGTTTTCATGTCTGAACCAGTAAATACCGGTAAACCGGTTATATTGTGAACCCCATTGTTAATTGTTCAGATCCTGAAAATACTTGATGTTAAAGATGATAGTAGCAATTTGTTTTGCACTGGCAGTGATGAAGTTCATTCAAGGGCTATTTACTATGCACCAAGTTGACATTAATCTCATTAAGATCCTGCTGGCTACCACTAAGTGAAGATACGTGCACATCTCATTGCAGATAACATCAGAACAACCTTTCGATCTATAATTGGCCCATGAAATGACAAAGATGACATTAGCCAATCAGAAAGCAGCTTTCTTAAGCTTTCCAGCACACATTTTAAACTAGTGACTTCCATGCCAGGCTATGCTTTGAAAAATCTTTTGAAAAAGTTCCAGATACAAATCTGAAAACTGAGCAAAGGTGAGGTGAGGTGGGTGAGGTGAAATTGGGTTTAACGTCGTGCTGGAGAATATTTCGCTCATATGACGACGTGCATGAGTGTGTGTGTGTATGTGCGGCTGCTTGTACTAGCCCAGACTGAAGCTGGTTTTATAGTGCTAGCCCACTGAGATTCCATGCAGCAGTGAAGTATGAATACCCCACTCAGACACATTATACTGACTCCGAGCTGACCAGTCCTTGTTGTACCCATTAATGCCGAGCACCAGGCAGGGACCAACAAGTACCATATTTTAACGTCTTTCGGTATGACACGGTCGGGGATCGAACACGCGACATTCCGCTCTCCGGGCGGACGCTCTAACCACTACACCACAGAGGCGGTCTACTGAGCAAAGGAAAAACCCTGGAAATCCAGTAGATGGAAAATCTCTTTCATGTATAAAGACTCTAACTAAAGGGAGAGATCGGTAAAAATCTTGACAGAATCAGAATGTCTGTCATTCAGAATACCCAGTGATAACCCATCCTAAGCTGCATGACTGTAGAACACATTCTGACTGTAGAACACATTCTGACTGTAGAGCACATTCTGACTGTAGAACACATTCTGACTGTAGAACACATTCTGACTGTAGAACACACTGTAGAGCACACATTCTGACTGTAGAACACATTCTGACTGTCACATTCCTATATCCAGTAAGCATCCTGATCTGATAGATGTAATGTGCTTCTGATGTGACCTGTAATCTCCAATCTTTGTTTCCTGGTAGATAGAACAGAGACCCAATTATTTTAATTAATTTAATGGGAATATAGCTTTACCAGATACAATGAGTCCAATGCTAAGCCTTCTGTGTGTTAGTGTGTGTATGATACCCTATACAAAGGATCCCACTTACATGATGCAACTGTCTGGGTCAAAACTTGAGAAGATGATGCAGCGTGTTCCAGCATGGTCAAAGATGGTCCTGAGGATGGTGTCAACGTGAAGGTTGTGATCAAAGTAGTGTTCCAGCTCCGGACCATCCTGAAACATGGGGGATACTTTTCTCTCATCATCACCTCAAAAGGCTCAACTCATGGATCTTGCTCTCATTAGATGCCATTTTTTCTTATGTTTTTTTGCTGAAGGCAATCCAGTGATCAACATCATGAGCATCGATCTACGTAACTGGGATTCGATGACATGTGTCAACCAAGTCAGCGAGCCAGACCACCTGATCCCGTTAGTTGCCTCTTCTGACAAGCATGGGTTGCTGGAGACCAATTCTAACCGGGATCTTCATGGTTGTCAAGCAAGCTAATACAAAAAATGATTAAATGTCTGTGCAGAGTCTGCCTTTGTTGACTGACTGACTGAGTTTAGTTTTACGCCGCTTTTAGCAATATTCCAGCAATATCACGGCGGGGGACACCAGAAATGGGCTTCACCTTTGTTGACACTTAAGGCAGCCATGACTTCTATCATTGACCCCTGCTGACCCTCTTTTGTTGAATAGTGTGTGTCTCTTTGATTTCCTTGACCTTCGTTTTCACACATATGAGTCGCCTACAGTTAGTTCTGATCATTCTGAACCTACCTCAGTGGCCTGTGGGTGTTTGATCTCAATATTGAAGCCAACTTCAGGGGGCACCCTCTTCAGACAGTCCTGTAGAGTGGGAAATGGTTGAAGGTCGTCACTATCGCTCGAGTCCAGTGTCAGTTCTGAAACGGACACTATGACGTGAGGATATATATAACAATCACTGTAAGATAAAATGCACGCATCACATCAGAGAAACCACTGTTGTATGCCTACAGAGTCGATGATATATGCAAATAAAAAAAATATTTTTCATTTATCTTTGAAATTTAGGGTAGGTAGGTAGGATTTTTTGTTTACATTTTTTTTTAGAAGTAAAGTACAAACTATTACCATATTTATCAATATGTAATTGTTTATTCAATCAAGCTTGTGGCCATCATGTTGACTTTCTTTAACAGAATGACCGATGTCTGTCGGTGCTGGGAAAAAAACAATGGTATCTGAACGCTTATTTTCTTTCATACCGCTTAAAAAATATTAGGGTCGGCACCAGAATTCAAGGGTCGGTCGGGGAATCGGAACAACAACATTTTTGTTTTTAGGCCTTAGCTACGTTTCAAGAACTGGATATGTAGTGAACAGCTTCAAGTTTCAACTAATACTGCCAGCAATCAAAAGAATTTTTTTTATCTAATATTAATGACAAACTGGCAAATATTTACTTCATTTCAACAGTCATAAGATGCAACAATTAATGTAACACTGCTGACAGCTATAATTGACCAAATTCAGGCGCCATCACTGATGAGGACAAGTTGGTCCAGTGGCTTGTGTTAAGACTGTTCACAAGGGATGATGGACAAGTAGGCCATGATAAACTTATTTGACTTTCAGCTTGAAACTTTGAGGATATTTTCAAAGTACTAAAGTTAGGAACCATGATGAGTTACCATGGATACAGGGAAACATAACATGACATCATGCTGCAATTTGAACTTAAGGTTATGGTGAGCCACTAATCTAATTTCAACATTTAGAACAATCACTTACTTATCTGATTTTCTGCAGATGATGACGCATGATATAGCTGAAAAAGTAATAGTACATCTACAAACAAATATTCTCAGCATCACAAACCACTTCAGCATAAAAATGACACAAAACGTTTTTGTTGTTTAATCCTGCAATCAGTCTGTAATAAATTGAGTCTGGAACAGACAATCCAATGATTGACCTCATCAACATTGGTCTATGCAATTGGGATACAATGAGACACAAAATGGACACAAATTAAAACATTTGTTTGAATAGCATTACTGGAATGACTACAGAACTAATGTCACAGAGTTGTATTTTCAAGAAACCAATATATTTCAATATCCAACACATAAAATACCAGATCCCATCATCAGAAATACAGACATCTACATTCTGAAATGATGATGATGATGATGTGATGATACGTGTGCTTTCTGACATTATGCGTATTTCGCAGGGTGGCCCGTAAACAAAGTTTGTGTTTCATCGAAAGTGGGATGATTATGACCAAAAGATAGGGCAACCCTGGGGGTGCAGTGGTGGAAATAACCCATTGCCCGACGCCCGAGTCCAGTGTTTTTTTTCTGTCGGGCAAGCAAATTTGTATATCACACTGTACCGGTTTCCAGTTGACTTTCCAATGTTAATTATGTTGTTTATTTAAAGAATCAACACGAAAACGGCTGGTATAGTGGAAAAATCATCAGGGCAAGTGATTTTACATGTGCCACTGAACCGGAGTACACTAGCAATTTTAAAGTTATTTCCACCCCTGGGGTGTTACGGTTTCATAATTGAGTGTTGCATGACTTTTGAATTTGGAAATTTGCAAGAAGTGTATTCTGAAGATGTTGCAAGTGGGATCTGTACATCATACAGAAACAGATCCAAGATTTTTTAAACAGGGATTGCACACAATAACCAAGATACAAAGAATCTTGGATAAGGGGGCAGTCCTCATTTAAGGTGTCTGAGAGAAAAGGGCTCAGACATCACTGGGGTGAAATAAGCTATTGGGTTATGAGAACGACTGTATGTTTGTTGTTTAACACAGCACGTAGCAATATTCCAGCTATATTGCGGTGATCTGTAAACAATCAAGTCTGGACCAGACAATCCAGTGATCAACAGCATGAGCATCGATCTACATAATTGAGATACAATGACATGTATCAACCAAGTCACCCGATCCCGTTGGTCAACACTTATGACAAGCATGGGTTGCTGAGGACCAATTCTACCACAAATCTTCATGGGTTGAGAAACAACTGTAGGAGTCACAACATCTGACACTGATGACTGTTACCTTGAGAGACTGCAGCTGTTCGGAGGTCAGGTCCTTGACAGGGATCTCCAGGAGCTCTTCCAAATCATGATGTCGCTGTAACACATCACCAAGTTTACTAACAAGGCTACAATCTGATTGGTTGAGAGTGTTATTTAACAACATTTCTTATCAGATATATTGAAAGGATCCGCCCCAGGTTTTATAATGCATGCATCCCTGTCATATATTATAACTATTCTGTAGGACCACAGTGAGGCATAACCAACCTTCCTATGCTGTAGAGCCACACTAAAGTCATGGTAAACGACAGGCTGTAGATCCTTAGACAGCATCACATCAAACTCCACGTAGTCAGCTCCCTGCAACAAGAGTGAATATTTTCTACTACCACCAAGATCTGCACCTGAGGCGGCTCTACTCAAGCTCGCACTCAGGCTGTGTGTGTGTATTGTTTGTCTACATCAGTACATATAACAAACGATGTCTGAACCAGACAATCCAATGATTGATATTATTACCAACAATCCACACAGGTGGGATACGTTTATTCCTTATCAACCAAAAGTGAGAGAAGATCCAGTTAAAAGATGTCCAGTTAGTTTGGGTACACTGTGTATACGGACACAAACCAATTTCCCAATTAGTGAGTGAGTTTAGTTTTACGCCGCACTCTGCAATATTCCAGCTATATGGCGGTGGTCTGTATCCGACAATCCAGTGATCAACAGCATGAGCACTGATCTAAGCAATTTGGATACGATGACATGTGTCAACCAAGTCAGCAAACCTGACCACCCAATTCTGTTAGTCGCCTCTTACGACAAGCATTGGTTGCTGGAGATCAATTCTAACTTAAGAGGCATATAAAATGTAAACGTCAAGTAAGCAAAACAACTTACATGTTGACCAGCTGCCTTGAGTGAAGCCACTGTATTCTCTCTTACCAGTGCCACTCTGAAAGAAAAGAGCATGCTGAAATGGCAGCACTGTCAGAACAGTAAAACCATTCTCATTCTTTAAAATAAACCAAAACTACTGGTTCTGCTGGCACCTGACATGTTTTCAATTGTAGTTTTCAACCAGCTCAGCTCCTGATACCAAAGGTCTTGGCACCTAGTGTAAATCCTTGTTGCCACAGCTACCATGCAACCTGTTGATTTATTCATTATCAGGTTTATCAATGGATTTCCTAGCTCTAATAAGGCTTCTCTCAAGTGTGTCTTTTTTTCAGAACTTGGTAGTCTATATTTGAAGTTTCAATGTATTTCAACACTTCACCAACTCACCAACTAAGTAATGACTCTGACCACTCTACCCATTAATTTGCCTATTACGACCAGAACGATTGCTGGGAATCAATTCAAACCCAGAATCCCTTTGGAATGCACTAGATGTATACTGATCTCAACTTCCATGTTCATTATGAAATCATCATGATCATTCTGGGCGTACCCTTACCTTTCATCAACGAATGACACATATTTGTACAACAAGTATTTGAAAATAAAATAAAAATCAAACTGTACTTTTTATACGATGCTCCCATTCCACGATGCCCGACGTCCAGACTCCGTCCCATCCTCTTCCAGTGTTTCTGGTAGGAAAGTTCCATCCCAAAAGTGTGTTGTTTGTATGGTTTTATGGTAAAATAATGCACTGAAACAAAACATGATATGAGTTTAGAAAAAGGAGAGCATTACATGGGTGTTTGTCAGAAAGAAGTTATCTTACGCTTCTAAACATATATAACGAGAGAAAGTGAGATAAGATGTATTTTTGTACAAGTCTTAACATAAATATTATATGACAGACATGAGTGTAGTAAAGATTTTGACACATCCTAAAAATTCACACCATAAATAATCGAGTCTGAACGAGGCAATTCAGTGATCAACATCATGAGCATAATCTAAGCAATTGGGATACGATGTGTCAAACAAGACAGAGAGCATGAGCACCTGATTCCGTTAGTTGCCTCTTACAACAAGTATTGTTTGCTAAAGATCAATTCGGACCCCTATCTTCATGGGGTCTAAAAAAGATGATTTCTGTACATGACGATGTTCATGATCATTGGACATAAAGCATTGTCTCATTACACTATGCAGACATTGGTTTGTTCATAATTATTTAAAAGTATTCAGCATTCACTCATGTAGGGTGAGGTGAAATTGGGTTTAACGCCGTGCTTGAGAATATTTCGCTCATACGACGACGTGCAATTGCGTAACATATGTGTATGTGCGCCTGCTTGTACTAGCCCAGACGTAAGCTGGTTTTATAGTGCTAGCCCACTGAGATACCATGCCGCAGTGACGCATGAATACCCCACTCAGACACATTATACTTAGTCCGAGCCGACCAGTCCTTGTTGTACCCATTAATGCCGAGCGCCAGGCAGGGACCAACACGTACCATATTTTAACGTCTTTTGGTATGACGCAGTCAGGGATCGAACCCACGACCTTCCGCTCTCCCGGGCGGACGCTCTAACCACTACACCACAGAGGCGGTTTTACTCAGGTAGATATAACTGATGACATAGAGTATAATATACCTGTGACCTCCCCAATGGGCTTGTGCTTTAGGCCATTGATAGGGATTTTTCTGCAGCCTAGAGATTCTGATAGGTTGTTTAGAGGCAAGATGTAGGCATATCCGACGTATTGAGGTAATCGGTTCTCCATTTCCACATAGAAGTCCAGTTGGTAACCCTACAATAGAAGGGGTTAAAGTTCCATTATCAAGCTTGTTAGTTAGTTGTTCAGTTGCACCAAGCAATATTCAGAAATAGCAGAAGCCTGGAGATAATTCATTCGGAACCAGACAATGTGATTGCTGGAGTGAGCAACGACTCATTAAGACAGGTTACGGGGCTCAATTTAGCTCTGAAAAACATGCATCAGTGAACACCACTATTGATTCATGCACCTGGAGCAAGTAAAATAAATTCAACTCTATGTCCATCCCTTAGACTACAATCTTAGAACACTTTCAGTCCTGCTAAGCTTCATGTACGCATACGCAGAGCGTGCGAAAATATCCACTAGCATGTTTCCGGTTTGGTCGTATGTTTATCGATAGTGTAAACACTCCAAAGAAAACAAAAATCAAAACAAATATATAGTTTTATGTCGAATATAACTGATCCCAATTGATTTATGAAACAGAGGCCGGGATTAGTTAAATAAATAGCTTCATTTATGTCAACAAGCTCTTGTATAAAGACATCTCACCACCACCGTCCTTCCCGCACATCCCCTTCTCACAACTAAACAAACACATCTCTGATGGAATTGCAACCAAAATAGGACATCAATTATTGAAAAGCAGAGGCAAATGGAAGTATGTACCCAGCTATGAACAGTTGTCACAACGTAAATAATTTTCATAACAGCTTTTAATTAGAGTGCATTTACACTATCGATAAGCATACGACCAAACTGGAAACATGCCAGTGGATATTTTATACAGTTGAAAAAATAATGTGAAACCAACGAATTTGTCATGCTTTAGTGGGCATGATGTTATCATGCTGGTGTGCACATTTCCATTATGTTTTACTGCTGTCAGTCATTTAGTTATGTCAAATCAGGATGCAGTCATCAGTTGATTGAGAGATGTGGAGACACACCAGTGTTTGTGAAAAATTTTAATAGAAAGACTGTAATCAGTCAGAGACATCACGTGTATGCATGACGGCCTATCGTCGCTTGTACGCAAGACGGGTGCGCCCCGCGGGACTAACTGAAGCGCTTGACCCTAATGAATTCAATCACCGTGGAACCAACTCGATTGGGTGCGAACATGGCGCGGGGTGATTAAAGCGTCCCGTAAAATCCCTTGATTTTAAAATTACTTGACAGTCGTGAATAAACAGGTTTCTCGGGAAAGCAGACACACCACGCCCAGGGTCGGTTGTTTACATATGCAAATTATGTAAAAAACAATTCATCGCATTTGAAAAAGTCATTTGGTAATATACTTTCAGCTGTATAAAGATGGGGCTAGATGGGATTTGATTGTTTGGTGATTTCTCATTAAATGAAGCACTCAGCAATATTCCAGCTATATGGTGGTAGTCTGTAAATACCCAAGAAGTACAGCCTCATCATCCTGTACAACATACAGCACAAGCTCACCACACTCTCCAGGATCAACGTGCAGACAAACCACAGACAACTACAACGTACCAGATAAAATCCCTGGCGAAAACCTACTCTACGCTGGAAGGTGTACCAAGGATAAAGACTAAACGTGTAGTCTTATCTAACATCAAGGCCGATAAACCGTTTGACAGTGTGAAACAGCTCATTCACGACTATGCACATGCTCGCTATGTGCGTGTGACGTACACAAGACTGCTATGCAAGCGCTCATACTATGACGGAACAGATACCTACACAGTGCAGGCCAATATGGCGTGTGACAACTACACTGGTGATATGAACGATAACTTCTGGCCAGCTGACATCACATGTCGGTGACTATGTACCACGCGACAGAGGAAGCGGGACAATTATGGGCAATATAGTGATAATGGATATTCATATCAAAATGAGTAAGTTTCTCCTTGTTTCCCTATATATCATGGCCTTAAGCTTAATATCATGGAATATTCGTGGCTTAACACATGACTGTCAAGATATTGTCAATAATATTCCAGATGATGTTGATATTGTTGCTGTGCAAGAACATTGGCTCAATCCAGATAATGTCCGCAGTCTCAATGATATTAATGGTTTTTCACTCATTTCATCTATATGTAACAAAACAACTTCTTCTCGAGGTGCTGGCAGCGTTGCCATACTGCGTAACAATAAGTCCACCTGAAGGCTGCGCAGAATTGCAACCAAGACAGAATTTTTTGTTGCTGCAGTTGTATATGCACATGGATATCCTGATATGTATGTAATATCTTCCCGACTACCTTCTACTAATGTTCTACACTCTGTGTATGTAGATGCAGTTGAACAACTCTTTGATATGTATGATACCCTTAGTCAAAAGGGTGATACTTTTATACTGGGTGACCTCAATGCAGATATCTGTAAAAACATATTATCCCCACGTGATAGTGTGCATCACAGAACGGCATCTTATACATGCTGTTAGTACATTACGCAACCATGGGCCTGACCATACATTTAGAAGTAAGGACAGCAAATTTAAATCGCTCATTGATTACATACTCCTCCCGTCACACCTGACCGATCAGCTTGCCTATTGTTGTGTAATGGATGATTGTAGCTACGCAGTATCTGATCATCACCCATATCTTGTTACTGTATCTAGACAACAGGAACATGTACGCAAATCTGATAGCCTCTATTTTCCAAAATGGCATAAAGCTGACCAATGTGACATTAACGTATACAGCGAGGAGAGTTCCGACTTCTCTCAGAAATTACTATCCCCTCTCATCCCTACCTCCCCATGAAATTGAATCATACACATGTAATGTTATAAATGCTTTACAATCCGCCAGTTCCGGTGTATTCCTTCGGTGTTTTTAAAGCACATTTAAAGCCATACTGGAAATCAGATGGACTAAACGATTTGCATTACAATATGCGTGTAGCTAGACGCTGCAGTGGTTGGTTGATGGTAAACCAAGGACAGGTAACTCGCGCTTTTGTATATTAATTACAAATCAGCTAAGCGGAATTTAGACGATTACATCGTAAGTCTAAACGAAACAGCGGTCAGACTTAAGTAGTGAATTAGAAAGGTGCTCGATGCTGATATAGGTACTTTCTTTAAATCAGTCCGCGAAAATGAAGCGACAGAGTCCAGTTGTTAAAGAGCTAGTATTGGGTCATAAATGTGCAAACACAGCAGAAGATATTTGTGAACTATGGGGTGATTACTTTGCAGATCTCGCCAAACCTCATTACTCTCCATTATTTGATAGCAACTTTCTAATAACAGTTGACAGGAAGGTTAGAAATATAAGCCAGAAACAATCCTCATGCAAAAAAGATACTTTATGTAAACATATTGAAAGTGATGAAGTAAAGGAACATATCAGTAATCTCCACAAAAATAAATCTCCTCGCCCGGACTGTATTCACAATGAACATCTTATTCATGGTGGTGATGACATCGTAAATACATTAACGGCACTTTTTAACTCTATTTTAGGATCTGCATATGTCCCTAGCACTTTCAGAAGAGGTGTAATTATCCCAATATATAAAGGTAAAACTCTAACTTCTTGTATTGGTAAACTTTTTTGAAAAAGTCTTATTGGCTAGACTAGAAATCTGGGTACAAGAATACATACCCTCATTTCCAGACAAGCTCCAATTTGGGTTTAGAAAGGAACATGGAGCAACCACTTCAGTCTTTACTCTAAACGAAAGCGTATCATATTATCTAAGCAGAGGTTCTCCAGTTTATACAGCCTTTATGGACAACGAGAAGGCGTTTGATCGCATATGGCATAATGGACTCTTTTTAAAGCTATATCAAATGGGTATAAAGGGCAAAATGTGGCAGCTCCTATATCAAAGTTATACATCAAGCTCTGCTTTTGTGCAATATTGTGGTCTGAGATCAAATGAATATGTTATCAAGCAAGGTGTTGGGCAAGGTAGAGTCTTGTCTTCCTGGTTTTTCCTTGTTTTTATTAATGATTTGATATGTGAACTTAGAGATTTGAACAATGGCATTTGTGTAAGTGGCATTAATATCCCATGTATTCTATTGGCTGATAACACAACACTTGCTTCTCCTTCTCCAAAAGGTCTTCAATCATCACTTGATACTATTTATAGCTATGCTTGTAAGTGGCGTCTAACGTATAACGGTTCTAAAAGCACTTGTGTCATTTTCTGCAAATATAAGAAACGCCTGGGTAATTATTCTTTCAAATTTGGTGACTCAGAAATACCAATAAGTGATTGTGTTGTTAAGTATGGAGGCATTTTACTTTCGCCTGATCTATACCCAAAATCTAGAGTATATTCATACTGCCAGAAAGCACGACAATCTGTAAATTCTCTAAAAGTCTTGGTTTAAATGGTAAAGATCTCCACCCTACTTCTTCTGTTAAAATATGGAAAAGAATGATACTTCCAACGAGCTTTTCGGGTTGTGAACTTTTACCCATTCTTCGAGGTAAAGATTATGACTTGGTAGAAAGTACACAGAGATATTTTGCCAGATGCATTCAGGGTTTCGGTAAGCGCTTTTCCTCTGCTTCAGTGCTAGGTAACCTTGGATTGTGGAGCATGGATGGTTATATAGATAAATGTAGACTATTATTTCTCGGCAAACTGTGCAACAGCAAGTGTAACTCTTCATTTAAGGATATTTTCTGTGTACATTTAGCCACCTTTCAAAACAGAACAGCTGTCTTACACAGTATATGTGACACACTTATTCAAACCAGTTTAAAATACAATCTCTTCAATTATCTTAGTGACTATCTCGATTTTGGAAGGTTTCCATGTAAATCGTCATGGCGAAGAATAACTATTAATTGCATAAATAAATCTGAAACTGAACGATGGATTTCTCACGTGTGTGTAAGGCACGATATGAATAGATATCGCTTGACCCACAATTTCTTTGGTGTACATAGATTGTATTGTTTCATGTATTTTTACCCACAGTTTAAAGATATATTACAGTTTTGTGTACAAATCAGCTCAAGGGGAAAATTCTCAAAACATTGTGAACTCTGCAAAAGATATTGTAATGATTATGCCTGCCATATAATTTTACACTGTGAACACTATATGTACAACAGAAATAATTTCTTTTCAAAACTTATAGATCTCTTTGATGTGGATGTTTATGTACAAATAGAATTATTATCTGAAGATGAAATGTTATCACTATTTTCTGGGGGTGAACTACTAGTTACTAACGATATTGATGAAATGTCATGGAGATGTATGATTGTCCTCTTCTGTAAATACCTATATTCCCTGCTTCCCTCACTAAACTGTGCATTCTAGACCTTTCATCCTTTCTTTGTACATATATATGACTATATGAATGTGTTGTGAATATATTGCTGTGATTATGTTGCTGTAAATATTTCATGTACATGTTTATAATGATCTTCAGAATATAATCTGGAGGAAATAAAGAGATTCATTCATTCATTCATTCATATGGGATATGTTGACATGTGTCAACCACGTCAGCTAGCCTGACCACGCAATCATGTTAGTCGCCTCTTATGGTTAGATGAGAATGTGCATTCTTATGCAAAAATGACATTCCTAGTTGTGATGGAGACAAAACAACAGAGTACAACTTACATTGCTACTCGCTTTAATGATTAAAAATGAACAGAGAATCTTTATAGCCAAGTCATCAACTAAACTCAAGTGAAAACAATGTTCTCACTCCAACAGTTTCTCTCACTTTTTAGTATTATATTCCAACTTCACAATTTCACTGTATAACTATACATTAATTTTCACTCTTCTACCCTGTTGTGTCTTGAGCTGCCACTCTTGTTTCTATCAAATGCAATCTAAATGTACATTATTGTTCTTTTTGGACAATTATGCATCCCTACATTCAATTTCAAATAAGATTCATGCCATGTACATACTGTGAAGTAATGGTGAATTTTCACGCAAAACACTTACCAGATTTTCTGGAGTGAAAGTCTGACTGCTGAAGACCAGGTAGTCATCAGGCTTGTAGATTAGGCCAAACTCGTCTTGACACTGTCTCTGAGGGACTTCGTCTCCCACCGACTGACAGAGAAACAGTGAGAACACATGTCATCTCTGTGTACTGAAACAGCTTATATATTTAACAATAGCTTGAATTGTTTTAGGAAAAATATCCTGTCAATTATCAGGGTGGGTAGGCGAGTGGAGTGATTGGGTAGAGTTGGGTGGGTAAGGGAGGGAGGGAGCAAGCAGGTTTCCATTATTGAAAGTGAATTGTGCCATTTCTTTCAATATTTCTGTAATATCACATCCATGGACACAAGAGAGGGCATTCAAGTTTGTCTTTGGCAACATTTACAACAATGGGCTACCAGTTATATAAAGACAATTTAGTGCATGCAGTGAATCATGACTGCGTGAGTGTGAGTGAGTTTAGTTTTACGCCGATGGATGGATGGATTTTTATGCCACTCTCAGCAATATTCCAGCTACTAGTATATGGCGGCAGTCTGTAAATAATCAAGTCTGGACCAGACAATCCAGTGGATCAACAGCATGAGCATCGATCTGCGCAATTGGGAACCGATGACATGTGTCAACCAAGTCAGCGAGCCTGACCACCCGATCCCGTTGTCTTACTACAAGCATGGGTTACTGAAGATCAATTCTAACCTGGATCTTCATGGGTATGAATGACTGAGACAGTAATCTGTGACTGAAAATCTCTAATTTGCTGCCACTGAGGGAAATACAAGATATTAACTACTCACAAAGCAGGTTATTTCTGTCTTCTTACACGTTGGAGGACCATCTCTGCTCTCTTCTTCATCTGCATCGTACAAGTCAAGGATTGATGGCTGTAACAGAGGAGTATACAAAGCTTCAATGGGCAACCTACTACAGTACTATAGCTGAACATGCTGTTAGTTTTGTTTTATTTTAATGCAGCACTCAGCAATATTCCACCTGTATGGTGGTGCTATTGTCATAGGTATATATATGTTTTTCAAGTAAATAAAATCATCTGTTACGTCTCAAAGATTTAGATTACAATTTCAAGCATCATCTGGTTGGATGTGTTTGTCTATTTGTTGTTTAACGCAACACTCAAGAATATTCCAGCTATATGGCGGCTCCGGTTTAACACACATTTGTAAGGTATTTTCATCACTTGACTGTTGTCAGCATCACATGAGAGGAAACCTGGTCACCCGCCTTGACCTCAATTATGAAACCCATATGTATGGTACTGACAACATTAGGTGAGATGAAAGGCAGATTCTGGTACAGATAAGGGAGGTAACTCTGATGTTCAGCATTAACCAAGTTCAACTATAATCAAACTTACTGAATGTAATTTTACAAAGGCTAAGACACCATAATTAAGAAAATTTCAAAACCCTCTTACTCATTCCTGAACAACCAATTTTGTTCTGTGAATCATACAGTAATTTTGGGCGATGAAATGATCATCACTTTTTATGTACTTCTTTGTATTTTCATGGTTTCATATTACCATGTGAGCTATTGTTGTTATGCCTTTACCAGTATCTTTTAATGTATTATTGTTTTTTAAAGTTCAGAATATAGAAATTGATGTAACTATTTAAAAAATAACAAGCATTGTCACTAAGGTGACATAATCCCCCGCCACAAATTATCAAATCAAACTCATAAAGTAATGAAAGTTTAAGATGAAGTTAAATGTCAACAAAAACATGACCAGTCAACATCTCTTGATATCTTGCTCTTTAGTTGTTCAAACACACACAAATTTTCAAGAATGACTTTGACCTTGACATGAATGTCATAGTGTATGAAATATGCAAAACTAGTACTAAAGAAATTGCTTATTGAAAAACATTCAAGGGAGGTCTTGAAAGTCTATGAAGAAAGTCCAGTGAACCGTTCTTAAAATATCTTGCTGACAATTCAGGTTAACATGCTGAAATCTTCAAAGTGTCCTTGTGACCCTAAAAATTATGTGAAGGTCACCAAAATTGATTGGGCGCTGGGCCTTCCCTAGATGAAGTTTGGTGTAAAATATGAAGAAAATCCACTGAATAATTTTTGCAATATCTTGCTGACTATCTTAACATACAATTTAACATGCTGAAATCTTCAAAGTGTCTCTGTGACCTTGAAAATTAAGTAAAGGTAACCAAAATCGCTAGATGAAGCTTGGTGTCCAATATGAAGAAACTCCAGTGAATGGTTCTTTAGGTATCTTGCTGACAAGCATAACATGCAGGTAAACATGCTGAAATCTTCAAAGTGTCGCCATGACCTTGAAAATTATGTGAAGGTCACCAAAATCGACTGGGCCCTGCGCCTTCCCTAGATAAAGCTTTGTATTGAATATGTATACTAAGAAATTCACAGATTAAACCTGTAACTCTTATCATAATCAAAATTTGCATTATTACAAGTATCTCAAGTGTAATTATCACAGGTTACAATCACTAGTCATTTTTAAAGACTAGACCCCTCCAGACATTCTTGTTTGTTGAACATTAAATTTTTATAAATGTTGATGACATTAATTTCATGATTTCGGCAGTATTTCTTCACCAAAACTGTCTCTGGATGGATTCATGATTAATTTTGACAAAGACTAGACCCTCTCAGAATTTCTTTAATTTCATGTTTACAGTAACTATATACTTCATAAGGCATTGAAATGAGCAACTGATAATCATTTTGGCTTCCTCACATCGCGCATTGCATAGTCCATGGGCACACACTTGACCCTGTAGGTCTGTGCACAGTGACGCTGTTTCCACATGTAGATGGGGTTGTTGAAGAGGCGGATCTCGGTGCTCACTTGTCCCATGAGCCAGCCCCTACTCCAGTTGTTGTAGCCACCTGAAACAAAACACGCTATCACCAGTGCTCAAGTTAACAGGTACCCATGAAGATCGGGGCTAGAATTGATCTTCAGTAGCACATGCTTGTCTTAAGATTTGACCAACGGGATCGGGTGGTCATGCTTGCTGACTTAGTTGACACATGTCATTGTATCCAAAATGCGTAGATCGATGCTCATGCTGTTGATCACTGGATTGTCTGGTCCAGACTCAATTACTTACAGACTGCTGCCATATAGCTGTAATAATGCTGAGAGTGGCATAAAAATCCATCCATCCAACCATCCAACCAACCAACCAACCAACCAACCAACCAACCAACCAACCAACCAACCAACCAACAAAAAACCAACCAACCAACCAACAAACAAACCAAACAAACAAACAGGTATCACTCTGCAACCAATATTTCAAGAGGACCAGGAGTGCGAAAAGACATTATGTTTAATGTCTGACAATATCTGTCATATAGTCAAGTAGTCATTATACTGACTAATATAATTTGTGTGACTTTAAATGACATATTTTTCAGCCACCTTTCTAATTTGGGAAGACTGACTGACTGACTGAGTGAGTTTGGTTTTACGCCGCTTTTAGCAATATTCCAACAACATCACGGAGGTGGGCTTCACAGTACCCATGTAGGGAGAACCCGGTCTTCGGGCGTGATTAATAACCACTAGGCTACCCCACAGCCCTTTAAGACAGTAAGTCAGTCTTGTTCTACTCTTACAAAGAGGTCTCCAGTAGGAGAAATTAATCTAAAACATTTAATAGCTTAAATATATAGAACTTAAAGCATTACATATGAACCCCTATTCTACCCATGAAGATCGGGGTCAGAACTGGTCTTCAGCATCCCATGCTTGCCTGAATTTACCAACAGAAAAACCCATAATTAATTTGAGGCAACTAATGGGATCGAGTGGTCAGGTTCGTTGACTTGGTTGACACATGTTATTGTATCCAAATTGTGTAAATTGATGCGCATGGTGTTATTCACTGGATTGTCCGGTTGGGACTTGATTATTTACACATAGCTTGAATATTGCTGAGTGCTGCGTTAAACAACAAACAAACAAACAACGAAAGAACCCATTCAGCCTGAAACTCTGATTGTTAACTTTTCAAGTCTAAGTAAACTTAGGCTCAGTATTATTCGTTACACTTCTATACTGAGTCTAACAAACAGTAGAAGGTCATGTCAGCTAACCTTTGAGCGACCTATGACTGTCCAATCAAACGCGAGAAGGACGAACAGATTTTACCAATCAGACAACTGCTACTATTTTAGGGTTCAGCGGGACTTACAAAATGGTTTTGAGAGTTTCTCTTCCCCTGTCACCGACACTGATCTCTTAACAAACGAAAATCTGCATAAAACACAAATATTTGACCTGCAGTATATACGCTCAGGGGTTGCTGATGACATGGTTACTATTTGCCTATATTTCCGCAAGATGACATCCAGGAATATTTTCAGCGACTGTTTACTCACTGTTGTGAATAATGGCATCCTCCATGTGTATCACTCGGAGGCGATCAAGCGGAAAATAGCATTCGGAATTGTTTGAACACAAACATTTTCAAGGTAAAAGTTCAAACGGCATGTGCGAATGTTAACTTTCATGATTTGGTAAGCTGTGTTCTGATTGGTCAATTCAAAAGGTTAGCTGACGCAACCTTCTGCTAGGGTTTGTTAGACTCAGTATAGCAGCGTAACAAATAATACTGAGCCTAAGTTTACTCAGACTGCAACTTTTTTATACTTACTGTAGTATAATCATAATTAGCACTAAGATGAGTTTGTGCATGTGGGCCTAGGTGTCAAATTTCTAAACTACCGCAACACTATGTTTGCCCAACATTACACCGAAAAGGTGTTTAAAAACCCAGCTGTGACCAGTAGAAACAGCTGTTGCTAACATGATTAACGGCTGTGACACACTGGGCAATTATCTGGTCTGCACATACAACATCACCCAACATATTTGTATGTATAGTGCTTGGCGAGTGAATGTTTTGCATTATTTATATTAAATTCGCTTGCCACGACGATAACCTGGGTTTGATATCCCACATTGGTACAATGTGTGAACCCCATTCCTTCCCTCACTCACTCCCCCAGTGTGGAACAGTTTGGATAAGTTGGAAGGGCAGCCTCTGCAAAAAATCTATCTCATTTGTGATGTTAAAAAGATCTTTTGTTTATCAGTATTTGTTGTATTAAATATAACCTAAGACACAGATTACCCTGTGAATGATGTCTAATGTCCATCAACACTCACCAAACTGACCAAACTCTGAGATATCTCTCTGTTCACACTGGCTATCTGTAAATAAAAAGCAAGACTATCAAAGAAAAAAGTCCAGTCAAATGCATGGTATAGAACTAACCCATGTACAATGACCACATCTCACATACCCACTGCAGCAAATGGTTGTCTGGTCACCATGACGACAGTAGACGGCCAATGTTCCTAAAATACTTAACCATGTCTTGCTACATCCTTACTCAAAATTACAGGGTCCCTTTCCAAAAAACTATCTTAGTACAACAACTGCTGTAACCTGAGGCCCAGCGCCGGTTGTTATAATATCGGGCCGGCAGTTTCAAATATTTGCAGGCTCTTATGGCCTTCAGTAAATTATCTGTAATTTTTTTTCTCAACTGGAAACTTTCCCATAATTGTTTTCTTTATTAACGTTCGGGAATCATCCATGATCCATCATGTTACGATAACTTACAGTTTCACTTCCTGGTATGCCAACACCAGTCTTTAACAAATAAAACGTCTCTCTGAGCCAAAGGCTTCACTAATTGATTTTGTAGAAACAGTGTGAAACTGTGTACAGTGTAGTCTATTTTGGTTTTATTGGTTTGACTTCAACAAAATGGGCCTGCAGATTTCATTCAGGGCCTGTAGATTTTAAAGCCTGCAGGCGGCAGCAGGCCCTGATGGCCAACTGGCAAATTAAAGTATTGCAAACACTGCCGTCACATGACATTTCCATTGCTCCTCATGGGTAAGTGAGGGTGTGAATAATCATATCACATCTTTCAAGGTTGAAATGATGGTCAAAATTTACTTTTCAAACATATCTGCATAATCAAGATACTCTGAAAAATTCTAAAACTGTGTCCTGGTTTTTGCCATTGTGTTCATGTTAAACAACCAGGTACACAACTAAGAAACATCTTTCAAGGTGTTCAAATATCCAGTTATACACCTTTTTCAGTTTGTTGGACAAACAGAATCTCAATCTCAGTAACTGCCAAAGGCAAACATGGGGTTTCAGGGCTCAATTTAGTGTTTTGTTACTTGCACTGGTGCAACCCAATATTACAAAGTGCAACCTAGTTATTTGTCTAACTTGCAACAGATGCAAGTCAATTTTTGAGAAATATATCAACAATGAATTTAACATTATGAGCATAATTATGTCCGCTCATTTTTCTTCTAAACTTTAAATAATTCAATAGCACATTTCTTTCACTACATATTGCAATAAAAGCAGTGCAGCTGGAATATAGCTGGTGCAACTAGGTTTTTATCTTAGGTTGCACCTGGTGCAAGTAGGTTAACATCTGTTAAATCGAGCCCTGGGTTGGCAAGATTAATCAAATATGACCTAATAGTCGACTAAAAAAATTACATGAAAACAAACACTGGTTAAATTTCGATTATTGTACTTTTTGTGTTAATTGATCTTGGATGCAGGTTGGTCTCCCATCGGACAACAATCAGCTTTAGCTGGCCACTCCCCGCATCCAGGAAGCGGCAGATGTAATATCGGTACAGGTAGTCCGCATCGCCCGGCAGGTTGATAACACGGCTCCACGTGTTACTATAGAAACAAAGTTGCAAAATATGGATTGCTCCATTTTGATCGAAGGAATTGCCCTCAGGTCACACATTGAAATTTACACAGAACCACAGAATCATTGCACATTAAGAATTCTCAGTGAGTGTGCCCTAGTGTCTGCAAAACAGGTCAATTTCAAATCACATAATTTCCATTAACCCAGCATTAAACATTCATGTGAATACTGAAATGCCATGGAATTTTGTTTCAAACTCAACTAAAATAAAATAAAATAAAAATAAAATAAAATAAAATAAAATAAAATAAAATAAAATAAAATAAAATAAAATAAAATAAAATAAAATAAAATAAAATAAAATAAAAGAAAGAAAGAAAGAAAATAAAAAAGAAAAAAGAAAAAAGAAAATAAAAGAAAATAAAAAATACTTCAAAATGCAATAAAATAAAATAAAATAAAATAAAATGTCAATAAAATTTACCTTCAGTCCTGTATTTGAGGGTCCCTGGGACTCATAGTCTTAATTTTCAGGGTCCTGGGTGCCGTTGTACAAAACGATCTTAGCGCTAAGGTGACCGTAACTCCCATACCTTAACATAGACTTAGGGTAACCTTAACCTAAGGTTGTTTTGTACAACGGCACCCTGGACTACAAAATAAGGGACCCAGACACTTAAATATTACTACAAATACTGTTATTGTATTGTGTATCATGATGATCACATTCATTGTTACAGTACTTAGATTGCAAATGATACCATGACCCAACTAGTAGTAAACTCAGTAACTTATCGTTACTTGATTGGAATTTTTACAAAAAGTTTTGGACTTTCTCTGCGTCACTGTGGACGCGCTGATAAATTTCGCTGCATCCATTGTCAAGTTCTATGTGTATAGGAGTTAAGACGCAGGAATCCACGTCCCGTAAATCCCTGTGTCAAGATGACTTTTCAAAATAACTATTGTAACTTTTAACAGGTATGCATGTGCTGCCCCAGGCAAGTCACCATGGCAACAGGGGATAAATCTAGGCTGTTTGGAGAAATATTATGAGATTTGTGTCTGGACCCCACCCATGTTTAGCTTCATTCATAATAAATAAACCAAACATTAATATGCATCATCATCTCTTGACTTATGTAAGATAGGGAGCTACCACAGTATTGCTATCACAGTATCAGGAAGAGAGTTGCATTGTTTAGCCAGACATTTGAAAGAACTTAGACTCACTAAGCATGCTAACATCATTATTTGGGGAGAGAAATGAAGCCTTTATATAACGAACATTAAATTCTTTCCATTCAGTGTCTCAAAAAAACTATCACAGTTAAACTGCAATAGCTATCGCTTACTTTATTTATTATTACATGATAAGATTACTATAGTCCGTTTGGCTCAAAAGCGGACCGATGAATTGCAATCTAACTCGAAAACTAATAAACATAAAATACTCAATGAAACACTGATCATAATCAAAACGTCAGACCAACTCTGTGAGTTTTTTGCAGAATTGATGTCCTAAAAATAAAAAAGTTGTTTAACACACTATCATTAAAATATTGACACAGTTCACTATTTGTTACGAGGGAGGAGTGCAGAGAAAGGGACAGCCAGGTGTTCGAGAAAGGGTGGAGACGGCACAGCACAGGTTGATGAATCAATAACTTTGTCGGTACTTGTGCACGCGCTTCTCTAACACCTGGCTGTCCCTTTCTGCACTCCTCCTCGTAACAAATAGTGAACTGTGTCAATATTTTAATGATAGTTTGTTAAACAACTTTTTAATTTTAGGACATAAATTCTGCAAACACATCACAGAGTTGGTCTGATGTTTTGATTATGATCAGCTGCCATTGAGTATTATATGTTTATTAGTTTTCGAAGTTAGATTGCAATTCATCGGTCCTTGTCGGGGTAATCTAAGTGTGTTACCACTAATTATACCTGTTGTAAATTCATTAAATGACCATCAAGTGAATGATGACAAATAACATGTGTAGGTTTATACCACCTAACACGGGTTACAACGAGGGAGTATTAATTGCTGTATTGCATGTGAAAACTTATGGGCCGACACTGTTTTGAGAATACAAACAGATTTTTTACATGACATGATTAAATATCGAGGAGTAAAACAACACAGAAATGGGATCAATTTGGATCAGTCATTATACAAAAATTGGGCCTAACGACACCAATGTCGATTTTGACAGAATCGTCTATGAAAACAAGTTGTAACTTCGGAAACTAGGCAAAGCAGGAGACAAAATTAAATGACAGTAGATTGTGAGAACATATAGCTTTCATTTTCCAAAACAATTGTCACGCGATTTCAGGTTATTCAAGCCTGTAAACACGATAATTTACCCCCTAAAATGTAGATGAATTCTGCATCGGCTCTCAAAGCTATTCCTCATATGACGTCACAAAGGCGCGCCGCTCTGATTGGTTGAAATTTCGTTCGCGGGTGAAAATTGTGCACTGTTGTCAAAAAGGTCGATTTAAGTCAATTAAAGGTCGAAATGAGTAGTTTTAATGACGGGGTTTCATTTATAACGATGCCAGTTAGTGATTTATGTATTTGTACCCTCTAGGGTTTATGTGACCTTTAAATATTACTACAAATACTGTTATTGTATTGTGTATCATGATGATCACACTCATTGGTACAGTACGCAAATGATACCATGACCCAACTAGTAGTAAACTCAGTAACTTATCATTACTTGATTGGAATTTTTACAAAAAGTTTTGGACTTTCTCTGCGTCACTGTGGACGCGCTGATAAATTTCGCTGCATCCATTGTCAAGTTCTATGTGTATAGGAGTTAAGACACAGGAATCCACGTCCCGTAAATCCCTGACAAGATGACTTTTCAAAATAACTTTTTTAACTTTTACCAGGTATGCATGTGCTGCCCCAGGCAAGTCACCATGGCAACAGGGGACAAATCTAGGCTGTTTGGAGAATATTATGAGATTTGGGGCTGGACCCCACCCATGTTTAGCTTCATTCATAATAAATAAACCAAACATTAATATGCATCATCATCTCTTGACTTATGTAAGATAGGGAGCTATCACAGTATTGCTATCAGGAAGAGAGTTGCATTGTTTAGCCAGACATTTGAAAGAACTTAGACTCACTAAGCATGGTAACATCATTATTTGGGGAGAGAAATGAAGCCATTATATAACGAACATTAAATTCTTTCCATTCAGTGTCTCAAAAAAACTATCACACTTACTTTATTTATTATTACATGATAAGATTACTATAGTCCGTTTGGCTCAAAAGTGGACCGATGAATTGCAATTTAACTCGAAAACTAATAAACATAAAATACTCAATGAAACACTGATCATAATCAAAACGTCAGACCAACTCTGTGAGTTTTTTGCAGAATTTATGTCCTAAAAATAAGAAAGTTGTTTAACACACTATCATTAAAATATTGACACGAGGGAGGAGTGCAGAGAAAGGGACAGCCAGGTGTTCGAGAAAGGATGGAGACGGCACAGCACAGGTTGATGAATCAATAACTTTGTCGGTACTTGTGCACGTGCTTCTCTAACACCTGGCTGTCCCTTTCTCTGCACTCCTCCCTCGTAACAAATAGTGAACTGTGTCAATATTTTAATGATAGTTTGTTAAACAACTTTTTTAATTTTAGGACATAAATTCTGCAAACACATCACAGAGTTGGTCTGATGTTTTGATTATGATCAGCGCTTCATTGAGTGTTATATGTTTATTAGTTTTTGAGTTAGATTGCAATTCATCGGTCCGCTTTTGAGCCAAACAGACTATAAGAAGCTTTATGTGCATAATTCTCTTTGATTGTTAGGTGTTATGCAACTTCACCACTTATTTGGAGCTTTGCATCTGATTTTCAGTCGACCTTAGACATGGTGGAGGGACGAGCCGTAACACGTCATAATCTTGATAATGGGCCCCAGTGTTTACCACTAAATCAGATGACAGAAAGAACTCAACGCAAACACTTGCACCTTTGTTCAAGGATGTGATTACTCTGTGCTAACATGTTTCATGAAGCATATCATCATACTAAAGATGGAAAAAACAGTTTTTCAACATTACATAACATTTTAAGAATATTGTTTTTATTCAGATATTTTATTCCTGAGAGTATCTGATTCGTAGCATATTGACAATAAATGTATGTGGGTGTAGATTTCAATGATCAAAGAAATTACTGAACACTAGTGTTGGGAATTGGTTGAAATCTCACAATTGATGATTGGTTCATTACCAACGAGCAATCATAAAAAACAAATTCCTATTGAGGTTGCTATTGCAGATAAGTATAACATTGTTCTTTGTTTTTTTTTGGTTCTCTTAGAAATTGTGCAAATTGCATTTGCAAACTTCACGTTTAATCATGTACAATGATGCAGCTTGCTACTTTAAAGTGATGACTTATATATCATGAACATATACTTCCTGGAGTCTTCAAGAAATATTCAGTAATGACTTCTCAGAAAGTGAAGTGAGTTTACTAAGAATTAAACACATTTTCAGGCCCTGACAATATGTTCCATCGTCAAGTGTTTCAAACACTAAAAAAGTGTTTCCATAATCTTTTGTGTTCGATTATGAGAAAATGTGATCGATAGCTTGGTCGTTTGGTCACTGCGACCAATCTTCGATTATTTCAATTAATCGGAACACCACAACTGAACATTTAGAATTAAATTCAATTAAATGATTGTGAACACTTAAAATCTTTTGTTGTATCAATACAGTGTAGTCCATTAATTGTAGATGATAATTATCATGGCTAATACAAAATACAAATAAAACATAAACCATTTATGTAACTGATTAATGAAGACAAAGCCCAGAGGGGACAACACTCAAAATAATTTCTTAACATTCTTTCAGACTTTTCCTCTCATCACATGATATCAAAAATGTAAAAATATTTCCAACCAGGTTTGAGTCTGATGATGATTAACATTCAAACATGCTAAAATATACATGTACTAAAACATTCACACTTGGGTCAGTCTCATTGCTACAGCTACCCCAAAATCTAAGCACTTCCAATGAAGCATGTCAAAATATGGACAAAGCATATATGCCTTTTTGCTGAAACAGGGCTCGGAAAATTTTAAAATCTGCACTCACCCTACAGGGCGAGTAATATGAACTTTCCACTCGTCCTTCTTAAATTGTACTTGCCCTATAGATCATGCATCACAATGAATATGAATTTAAATTATTTAATTTCAAAATGTTTGCTTGGAATAAAACTACAATAAACATTACTTACTTTGTCTTGGTTCAAAAACTTTGACAAAATTGAATTCGTTCACCATTTAGGATAGGTGAACTTCAAGGAAAAAGAAAAATGTTACTATTGGGTCAGAAAACGTACTCGTCCTCTAGGATGAGCAAATGATGTTTTTCACTTCCCTGAAACACATTTTACGAAACACATTCAATACGAGCGGACAAGTGGAATTTTCGATCCCTGTGAAATGGATACAATTACAAAACTTTCAGTACTAAATGCCAGAGTGAGTGAGTATTGGTTAATACCAAATCAGCAATTTTGCAGCTAATCGCGGCAAACTTAATGTCAGAAGAAGAATCAGAATTTAGAAATAACATTTATGATTAGTTACATCTTACAGTTTTGTAGAGGCTACTTCAGCAATTTGAACTGAATACAGATCAATGCCTTATCAATTGGCCTGTCATGCTGCACAAATCTGATCATGCAATATGTTACTTGATCTTACCTCTCATCTTCATGTTTTTCCAGAGGTACCCCATCCTCGGGCATCCAGCTGCCTAGTGATGATGCGTTCCCCGTCACATAGACAACTTCACCTTCCTCTGTAGGAACATTGACCGCAAAAAAGGTAGCCACTGTCATTGTGAAAACAGGTGTCTCGTGTAGACTGGCGACCAGAGAGATGCTCTTTTACCAGTAGTCTGTAAAATCAAAAGCGTGAACAAACTGAGACTGGGTTGCATGCTGCAGACGTCGAAATAGTCAAAAGGCATTGTTCATTCAAGCCTTTCCAACCAGCCCTCAGTTTTGTGGGGGGGCGGTGGGGTAGCCTAATGGTTAAAGCGTTGGCTCGTCACGCTGAAGACCCGGGTTCAAATCCCCACATGGGTACAATGTGTGAAGGTCATTTCTGGTGTTCCCCGCCGTGATGTTGCTGGAATATTGCTAAAAGCGGCATAAAACCAAACTCAGTCAGTCAGTCAGTCAGTTTTGTGGGTCATTTGGAAAATATTATGGGTCATGTCAAATTGCTGTGACTTGTCAGCCATACAATTCTAACAAGAAGACAAAGTCATCAATATCCCCAACAATGGCAAAATACTCTTCATAAATATGTCAACTAGTTATGACTATGTCAAATGCTTGGACGCGTATACAGCAAAATGGAAGGAGAGTATTGAAAGGTTTTCAAATTCTGCTCCAGAAAGGAGCACTACCACCAATTTCAATAATAGTCAAACTTGTTGCCATGGAAACACAAAAAATATTTTATTCAGAAATGCAAAACTACAAAAAGGTACCAGTTCATCACCAGACCTATCTATGTGCCAAGGTTGGTGAAGAATTATTGAACGGTTTGCAAGTTCTCCTCCGGAAAAGAGCACCAACACCAATTTCAGTCACAGTCAAACTTGTTGTCATGGAAATGCAAAAAATATTTTATTCAGAAATCCAAAACTACCTAAAGGTTCCAGTTCATCACCAGACCTATCTATGTACCAAGTTTTTAAACAAATATTGAATGGTTTGAAAGTATTGCTCCGGAAAAGAGCACCAACACCAATTTCAGTCACATGGAAAAGCAAAAAATATTTTTTTCAGAAATCCCAAACTATCAAAAGGCACCACAGTTCACCACCAAACATATCTATGTGCCAAGTTTGGTGAAGAAATATTGAACGGTTTGAAAGTTCTGCTCCGGAAAAGACAAATGTGCACGGACAGACGGATGGAGTCCAAAATAATAGTCCTGTAAAGGACTGAGTGAGTGAGTTTAGTTTTACGCCACTTTTAGCAATATTCCAACAATATCATAGCGGGGGACACCAGAAATGGGCTTCACACATTGTTCCCAAGTAGGGAATTGAACCCGGGCTTTGAGCGTGACAAGCGAACGCCCTAACTACTAGGCTACACCATCGCCCCTGTAAAGTACTGAAATGGTGTAGTGTACTGATGTTGAGATAATTACTTCAGAGCCTGGGATAAATCAGTGGTCAGATACGGACACAGATAACTACTCTTAATGCACTGTAGGTACGCTCTTGGTACTCCGGATTCTCCATTCCCTACCCTTGAGCATATTGGAAGCACATTTCTGTGTCACATAAAACCCAGCAATCTATGACTGAGATCGTAGCCAATGTGTTAAGAATGGGCTTAAGAAGTTCTTAGGGCTATGAACGTTTTCAGAATAGCTAGCATATATACGGTACATATAAACTCACTGCCTTGTATGAGCAGGTCCTTGGTATAGTCAATAACATCTGAATAATTATTCAAGAAATATTTCAGATGTGCATTTAAAGAACAATAAAAGAATGATATGAAATACCACAGTATATCAGACTGCCTATATCAGAAAAACAAGAACCAAGTTTTGATTTTGTTCCAGGTGCTTCAGCAAAATTTAGTACTGGCGTTTATGTTTAGTTTTGTATTTTGTTGCACTCGGGTGCCTCAATGTTTATTTTTTTTGATAAAGTAGTATTTTGTCTTTCAGTGGCATTTAGAAGTTGTACATTGATGTCCAAGATATTTTTATGGATTAAACTTCTTTTTTAATTTCTCTCACGACGTTTCGAGACCATTCCAGGTCCCTTCATCAGGTCATAGTCCTAACTGCCAGTTCACCTGATGAAGGGACCAGGAATGTTCTCGAAACGTCGTGAGAGAAATTAAAAAAGAAGTTTAATCCATAAAAATATCTTGGACATCAAAGTATTATTTGTTGCTCAACAATGTCCAGTATAGGCAATCAGGTTCAGTTTTGCATTTTGTTGCACCCAGGAACTTCAAAAAAGCCTATTATGCATATCTATCCTAATGAGTTTTTTCACTCAGCTGTTTTTACAATGTTTAAAAAATATTTGTTTATGTTTAGCATGCTTATTGCTTTTATTCCGTAGCACCCAGGTCTTCAACAATATTGTATAAATATTCCCGGTATAGCTTCAATGTGAACAATGTTCTGATCATGTCTAGATTTGTTTGATTGTGGCCATGATGCTGTAGTCATATGTGAAATGACCAATAACTGTATGATATTGCGATAAGCTGGGACGATCTTAGCCAGGTAGATCCTGGGCTGTCCCATACAATTTAGTAGATCAGTTATAGATACCAAACCTAACTGCATATCCTGTTTTGACCTACTGGTATCTTGGTTTGTGGTATGGTCAGTGAGCAATGAATTCATGCTGATTGCAAGATGGAAATGCCATGCTCCTTTTTGTGAGTCCAAAGCATGAGATGATTTCCGAAAATTTCCATTCATTTGAGCACAGTTATGTGGATTTGAGATTAATTCTGCATAGCCACCTGCGGATACTTCAGAAAATAGGTTATATATCTGCTTTGTCCGTGCTTGCTTTGTCAGTGTGTCTGCCTTTTTATTTCCATGAATGTCTATGTGAGATGGAATCCAACACAGCTAACTAAATAAATTCACCGAGCATGACCACCTGGAATTCACAGAGCATGACCACCTGGCCTGCTTGGCAGCCTTCTATCACCAACACAGATTGCAGGGGATTTATTCTAACCCAGAATCCATACAAAGGGGTGACCCAGAGTTCCTTCTGGGCTGTTCCTTCTATTTTCAATCACAAGTTTTTTTAAATTACGAAGGGCTAGGATAGTTTATCAATCTCTTATAACTGATAAAACTTAATTTCTGTCAATGTGTTTTGTTTTCACTTTGACTCAGTCAGGAGTGGGCAAGTAGCCTAGTGGTTCAGACGTCTCCTTGTCACGCTGAAGATTTGGGTTCAATTCCCCCACATGGGTACAATGTGTTATGCCCATTTCTGGTGTCCCCCACCATAATATTGCTGGAATAATATTGCTAAAAGCGACATAAAACTGAACTCACTCACTCATAACTCTTAATCATGCATTTGCAAATACATGTACCACGAGTGAGTGAGTGAGTTTGGTTTTATGCCACTTTTAGCAATATTTTTTATTACTATTATAGGATATTTATATAGCGCACATATCCACACAACTAGTACATGCTCAAGGCGCTGGTTTTATCCCTCGATCATTGGATGTCAATCTCAACAGCACATTGTATTATCAAACTCCCTGGGGATCATACAACTCTTGTAGCCACTACGTGTCCCAAGTTACTGCAGCTTTCCCATCCATACAAATGTTCCAGCAATATCACAGTGGGGAACATCAGAAATGGGCTTCACACAATGTACATTGTGGGAATCGAAGCCGAGTCTTCGGCGTGACAAGCAAACGCTTTAACCACTAGGATGCATTACTATAATATTATAATAATCAATGGTAAACACAGTTAGCACACTTCCAATATGGCTTTGTAAGGAGCTATATTGCTGTCTTGTACTCTGCACGCTATATCAGAAGACACTACACAATGTGTGCCAATGAAACTCTTTCAGGAACAGATACAAGTATACTGAGATCGGTCATTGATATCACCAAAAGTAGCCCATCATATTTCAAGATGCATTTTATGACATTGGCACATCATGGTCAAACAGCAGAACAGCAAAATTTCATTTCGTTCAAATAAAGTCAACTGATGCTGATAATGACACTGACAATTCTAAGAGAGAACTGCCAACATATATCGTAAAATTCTATTCGTTGGTTTCACATTAATTTTCGACTCGCTGTGCGCATGCGTAGAGCGTGTAAAAATATCCACTGGTCAATTTCGGTTTGGTCGTAATAGCGATATTGTAAACACGCTCTAAATAAATGCTGTATAAAAATTATTTACGCGTGACAACTGTTCATAGTTGAGTACATACATCCATTTGCCTATGCTTTTCAATAATTGATGTCCTATTTTGGTGGCATTGCATCAGAGATGTGTTTTTTTACTTGTGAGAAGGGGATGTGCAGGAAGGACGGTGGACGGGTGGTGGTGAGATGTGTTTATACAAGAGATTGTTAACAAACGTTAAGCTGTTTATTTAACTAATTCCGGTCCCTTCCATTCATAAATGAATTGAGATTAGTTAAATTCGACATAAAACCATATATTTGTTTTGATTTTTGCTTTCTTTAGAGTGCGTTTACAATATCGGTAAAGCTTACGACCAAACCGGAAGTTGGCCTGAGGATATTTTCACACGCTCTGCGCATTCGCTCAGCGAGTCTAAATAATGTGAAACCAACGAATAGACTTCAGTAAACAAACAATCTGAAAATATTGGAATCATACTGAAGTTTGATTGGGCATTGTAATCAGTAGATCTATTAAAACAATATCACATCTTATATAATGAAGACTCAGACATGGCAAGGGAAGTGCTGTTGAAAATAATATGTTGTGAACAATAAGGCTGTTACGATTCACTCGCATATTCGGTGAATCGAACCGTAGCCCTTCATGAATTCTATTTGTTATTCGTGGTCACCAGAACCGAATATTCATGAATATTTACAATTTTTTTAAGGGAGTGTGTTTTACTTTAACCCTTATGTCCTTTCTCAAAATGAGATATGCAAGAATGCATTATGTACTATCCTTGTACTAGTTAGTTTGCCAAGGGCGGACATGTTACTGTCAACTATAACTATTACATACCAAATTTGAGTGTCATGAGATGACTGGTTATTGCTGTGACAA